GGGTGGGGGCTCTGTGGGGTAGGAAAGGGCTGTGAGGGATTGGGGGGGCTGTGGGGCAGGGAAGGTGCTGGCTGTGGGCGGGGGGGGGCAGTGGGGTGCCGTTGGCCGACTCAGGGGGACCCTCCACCGCAGCCGAGTGTCGGAGAGATTTGGGATGGAGCCTGACCCACAGCCGTGGGGCCCACGCAGCCACCCACCCCTCTCCCCCCAGGGCATCCCTGCCGGGGCAGGGGGTTCCCACAGGCCGTGGGGTGTGATGACACCCTGGGGGGGGCGGTTATCTCTGGGACTAACGTGGCACGGGGCTGTGCTGCTCTGGGGGTCCCTGTGCCGGGTCCTGGCCCCGAGCTGCCCCAGCAGGTTTGTTGCGGGTGTCGGCGTGTGGCGATAAACCCCCTTTTCTGGTGCCTCAGGTGCTGACCCCCGGCTGCTCCCCGGCGGCCCCCCCGGCGGCTCGCAGGGTCAGGGCGGCTCCAGGCCCCGCAGCCATGTCCACCTTCCGCCAGGAGAGCGTGGAGGACTTCTACGAGATGGGGGAAGAGCTGGGCAGGTGAGCGACATCCCGACATCCCGCTGTGCTCGGGGAGGGGGGTTCTGTGGCTGCTGCAGCCTTTGTGGTGTCCCTGTGCCACCTCTGTGCTACCTGCAGGCGGTGGGTCTGGGGGCCAGGGGCTGTGCTGAGAGCCAGGCACTTCTAGCAGCTACATATTAAAAAAAAAAAAAAAAGGCGTTAATTAAAGCTAAACTTGGTTCTGTGTCTGGGCAGGCCTAGCTGCTGCCTGCAGAGCTCCCATCCTGTCCAGGTTTGGTCAGGGCTGCTGGGTCACTGCTGGTGGCTTCCATCCCTTCTTGGTCGCTGTCGCCCGGCTCTGTGCCTGCGGGACAGATCTGGGGGTGAATCACTGCGTGCAAATGGGATTTAATCATCCGGGATGCAAAGGCAGCAGCAGCGGAGGGGGGATTTGGATCCTCCAGCGCTGCCTCAGCCACGCCAGCTCCGTGCCAGCACTGCTGGGGCTCGGGGTCTGCTGCAGCCGTGGGCACAGGCTCCCTTCTCAGGCACTAGGAAATAATTGTGCGGTAGAAACATTTTGGGTGGCTTTAATTTTTTTTTTTTTTTTTTGATAGGTGGGGAGCTTCCAGGGGCTTGCTCTGTGTCCCCTTTCTCTTTGGGGCTGCGCTGTAGCTGTGGTCCGGTGTGAGCCGTGGGGACAGATGGGGGTGCCTGGGGGCCCCCGATCCCACCTGGGCAAGGCTGGTCTGTGCCCCGGGGGGGCTGTGGGTGGCCCAGGCCGTGATCCGGGGATGTATGAAGGGAGTCTTGGGTCCGGGCGCGCGTGGAGGCCGGTGACGGAGGCCGGTGACGGGACCACACGTCACCGTGTGCTGGCGGGGACGGCCAATGGCCGGGGCAGTGGGGAGGGGAGGGAGCAGCCTGGGGAGGTGGGATGGATCCTGTCCTCGGTGGAGGAGGGCGTTGAGGGGCCCTTGTGCATCTCGGCAGAGGGGCTACGGGGGGCTCCGCTGGGGCGGGGAGGGACAGGGGTTGGGATCCTGCTGTAGAAGGATCAAGGAAGTGCCTCTCGATGCCCAGAGCTCTGTCTCCCCCCAGCCCCTGACCTAAGTGTGCTTTGAGCGGTCGGTTACTCTTACTTCAGGCATTTCCTCCCACTTCCACCTTCCCCATCAGAGCTTTGTGGTCCTCTGGGACCGCTGGGCTCTGGGGTTTGCTCCTGGGGGCAGCCTGGGGGGTCCTGGCTGGAAATGGGGGGTGATGGGCATCTCCCACCCCAGGCGGTCACAGCAGCACCCAAACAGCCCAGGGAGGGGCGGCAGCTGCTGCCACGTCCCTGTGAGGAATTTCCTTCCTCCATCCCAGGCTGGGGTTTACTCTCCTGCTCCGGGAGCATGCAGGAGCAGGCGGGTGTCATCAGCTGTGTGGGGGAGGACCCCAATTCCCAACAGACTCTGGGGGAACCGTTCATCCCCCGGCACAGCACAGCGTTCCCCGTCCTCATGCTGGTGCTGACCCCAGTGCCAAGCACGCGCTGGCACGTGCGATGCAGGTGATCCTCTCTCACCTCCTCCCCACATCCCACAGCGGGCAGTTTGCTATTGTACGAAAATGCCGGGAGAGGAAAACGGGCCTGGAGTACGCGGCCAAATTCATCAAGAAGCGTCGGCTGTCGTCCAGCCGTCGGGGCGTGAGCCGGGAGGAGATCGAGAGGGAGGTGGACATCCTGCGGGAGATCCAGCACCCCAACATCATCACACTGCACGACATCTTCGAGAACAAGACAGACGTGGTGCTGATCCTGGAGCTGGTCTCGGGCGGCGAGCTCTTTGATTTCCTGGCTGAGAAGGAGTCCCTGACGGAGGAGGAGGCCACGCAGTTCCTCAAGCAGATCCTGGACGGGGTGCACTACCTGCACTCCAAGCGCATCGCCCACTTTGACTTGAAGGTGAGGTCTGGGGGTGCACATGCCCCGTGCTCGGCACCTGGGGAATGGGGTGGGCTGTCCAGGCTCCTGTGGAGCAGTGGGGTTGGCCCTGGGGTCTCTCCCTGTTTGTGTCCTCCAGGGAGAGGAGCCCAGGGCAGTACAAGGCTCACCGCGGGTGAGTGTGTGGGGGTAAAGCCCAGCTCTTCTCCCCCCACAGCCAGAGAACATCATGCTGCTGGACAAGAACGTGCCAAACCCTCGTATCAAACTCATCGACTTCGGGATTGCCCACAAGATTGAAGCTGGGAATGAATTCAAGAATATATTTGGGACCCCAGAGTTTGTAGGTGAGACCCGGGTCGTGGTTTTCCTGTGGGGTTCCTCCGGACTCTGAAAGCTTTGGTCTAATCCCAGAGAGATGCCCAAAGCCCTGGTGCAGCAGCTGGGATGTGTCTGTGGGGACAGGCTTCTTTCCCCTAGAATAAGCATGTTTTCTCCCCTCTTTCCTTCAAAAGCCCCAGAAATTGTGAACTACGAACCTCTGGGGCTGGAGGCTGACATGTGGTGAGTGAGTCCCCTCCCAGGCCCCTTCCAGTGGCACCAGTGGCTGGTCCCCAGGGCTGGGGTCGTGCCGGCGTGTCCCCCTCTTGCTGAAAGCACAGGGAGAGGGGACCGATGGTGCCATGTGGGGCTTCAGCCTCATCTTCCTCTCTCTTCCAGGAGCATCGGGGTCATCACTTACATCCTGTGAGTATAAGGGGAGTCTGGGGGAGACGGGCACTGCTGGGCGAGTCCCCCTGCCTCGGGCACCTTTTTGGGGTGTCACAACCCGCTCTCACCACAGGCTGAGCGGAGCCTCCCCCTTCCTGGGGGAAACAAAGCAAGAGACCCTGACCAATATATCTGCCGTCAACTACGACTTTGATGAGGAGTATTTCAGCAACACCAGCGAGCTGGCCAAGGACTTCATCCGCCGCCTGCTCGTCAAGGACCCCAAGTGAGAGCCAGGGAGCAGAGCTGGGGGTTACCCTGGGAGGGGTCGGTCCCTCCTGCCCAACCCTCTGTGTACAGGCAGCTCCCACATCTCCTGCCTGTTAGGGTTTAGCTCTCGGCCTGCCTGCTGCCAGCCCATCCTTTGCCCGTCCCTGTTGTTCTGCTTGTCTATAAATCCCATTTATCCCGTTGTTTCCCTCCTGCTGCTTGTAGGATTTGGTGTTGCGAAACATCTGGAAACCAGCATCTCTCCCCTGCGTCAGGCATGGGGTGAATTCTGGGATCACCCCGAGGGTGCAGCAGCTCAGCTGAAAAGGAGGGAAGGGGGTTTGGAAGGGATCAAGGGCTGACCTGAGCACCCTGGGCCGGGGCGGGAGCAGTGGTGCTGCATGATGGACAGTGGTTGGGAGGTTCCTGCAGGCTCTTCTGTGTGTATTTGCCTTTGGGAGGCTGGTTGAGGGCATGGGGGCTGGATGCAGGTCCTGGCTGCAGCGGGGACTGGATGTGAGCCCCCAGGTTCATCCGTGCCCCAAAGGTGACATGATCGAGCTGCTTTTCCAGGACATTAACAGGGAAAGAGGCAGCAAAGCCTCTGCCCCTCGATCGCAGCCTTGCTGTCGTTGCAGGAAGCGGATGACAATCGCTCAAAGTCTGGAACACCCTTGGATTAAGGTGAGAAGTTAAAGAATTGTCACTTCTTGGGTGTCAAACATCCAGGAGGTCGGGGGTGGATGTTGATGTGCTGGCAGCTCTCCACGGCTCTTCCAACCTCCAGTTGGGGCTGGTTTGGTGCTGCTGGTGGCCTCGGTGCTGTGGGACTGGGGTGGGTGCTGAAGCCATCTGGCTCCCGCTGTCCCGGCTGCGCCCCATGCCCGTGGCTGCCCCTCTCCCCAGGTCATCAAGAGGAGGAACGTCCGCAATGAAGACAACTGCAAGAAGCCCGAGCGCCGCCGGCTGAAGACCACGCGCCTGAAGGAGTACACCATCAAGTCCCACTCCAGCATGCCGCCAAACAACACGTACATCAACTTCGAGCGCTTCTCCAAGGTCATGGAAGAGGTGGCTGCAGCTGAGGAGAGCCTCCGAGAGCTGGAGAGGAACAAGAAGTCATTCCAAGAGGACATCGAGGCCCTGCTGTCCATCTACGAGGAGAAGGAGTCATGGTACAAAGAGGAGAATGAGAGCATCAGCCAGGACCTCCGCCAGATTCGGCAGGAGCTGCAGAAGACGGAGGCCCTGAAGAAGCAGGCACAGGAGGAAACCAAAAGTGTGGTGCAGGTGGCCAACGGCCTCAAGAGGCGTTACCGAAAGCTGGAGAACCACTACGAGGCGTTGGCCAAGCAAGTGGCTTCGGAGATGAAGTTTGTCCAGGATCTGGTGTGGTCCATTGAGCGGGAGAAGCTGCAGAGCGGCGAGGGAGACGGCAGCATCCGCTAGCTTGGCTGGCGCCGGGCTGAGGCGGCGGCGAAGGGACCTCGGTGGCTCTGCCCCTTGCTCGCCCGAGGAGCTGCTCCACCGACAGCCTTCGGTAACTGTCCCCAGGCTCTGCTGGGCTCGCCGTGGCGTGCCGGGGGCTTGTGCCTCCCTGGAAACCTCCCCTTCTCGGGGGGCTTGAGTTGTGCTCACCTGGGTTTTGGCTTCCTGCGTGCGGCTCTTGCTTGGCTTGCCGTCCACGTGCTCCCCGTGCTCCCCTCCTCCCTGCCGCAGTGCGTGGGGACCAGTTCTCCCCGTCCCACCCGGGACCTGGGTCTCGGAGCTGCCGCAGTGCCCTGCCTGGAGGTGGGGGGGTTCTGGTGGGGAGACCCCTCCTCTAAACCCTCGCAGCAGCTCAGGGTCTGCCACGTGCGAGCCATGACCGAGGACCAAGTCCTGCGCAGCCCAACTCGCTGCAGCCCCGTGGGTGACCCCGGCCATTCCCCATTGCCCCCGGGGTATCGCACCCCCCTGCACCCTACCCCAGCCCTCGGTCCCACCGGGTGCTCCCCCTTTTAACAAAATAAAGGTCTCTCTGCACCGGGGCGGCCGCCTTGGCTCCTGCCACGGGAGGATGGGTGGTGGGAAGGGGACGAAGACACGCTGGGAGGGGACGGCTCCTCTGCTGTGCCCCCAGTTGGTGTTTGTGCTCCCATCCCAGAGGGATTTCCTTAATTTGGGAAGAGAAAGGCTTTTTCTTTTCTTCATCACCCCTGGCATTGGTGGGCAAGCTCCCTGCGGGCTTGGAGGGGGCTCTGGGGATGAGTTGCAGGATGCTTCTGGGCTGGGGGAGCCCCCAGCCCCTTTGCCTTGGACCCTCGGGGAGGTCTGGGAGGCTCAGGGATGGGTGGGGGCTGGTCCTGGGAATTGAAGGTCTGTGGGATTTGGGGAGGTCCCTGGGGCTTGGGGAAGGCCTTGGGTCAGGTGAGGGCCCCAGGGTTTCTGTGGGATCCCTACCCTTTTCCCCAGGGGTTCTGCATTTACAGGGAATCAGCCAGATCCCATTTTACGTGGGGACAGAGGGAATAAGGACTCAAGCCCAGTGTTACGGGGGGGCAGGGAGGGATGCTGGGCTCTGGCATCTCCAGGAGATGTGCTCCGAGGGCGGGAGAGCAGCTGGTGGCCGAGGCAGGGGGGGCTGGGACAGGGTGGGCTCTGTCCCCTCGCCCCCGGCCTCCTGGGGATGCAGCGGACGAGGTCCCAGCTCGCTGCTTTCCGCAGAGCTTGTGCGAGAGCCCGGGGCTGGGTTTCTGCCGGGAGCCCCGAGGGGTTTCCGGCTGCCCACGGCCCCGTGGCCACGGAGCCAAGATGAATTTGATCTGGGGGAATCACCGGCCAAATCCCAGCGGATGGCAGGCGTCCCTCTGGCTCACCAGCGCCCACGGCGGGGAGGGGCAGCGGTGGGTTTGCCTCCGGCTGAGCTCTGGGCTGAGATGATTTGCTCAATTTAGGCTTTATTTGTCACGCCAGTGCTTCCCCCCCCCAGCAAACTGGGGGTCTGGGGTGGCGGCGAGACGGGCCCAGCCTGGGTGAAGGGGACGTGCCCCGTGTGCCCGTCTGCACCAGCCGTCGGGCAGCCCCATGTGCCGGCCGCTGCCCGCTGACGTCCCGCGGGGTGTAGGTTTCATCCCAACCTGCGGGGCACGCAGGCCTGGGCTTAATTTTAGTCTGCCCCGTTTTTCCAGGCCAAGGCTTTTGGCATCCAGGGGTGACGGTGTGACCGCCCGGCTGGTGGCAGCGGCCCAGGGGTCTGTGCAGAGACCCCAGAGTGCAGCC